TAAAACTGAGTGCAGTAGATCTGATTCACTTTGCATGTGAAAACCGGACTCATACTGACAAAACAACATGTGGGAAAAGAGTCTTATAGCATTTTGAAAACTTTAAGGTGTTTGGTTGGAGAAATGACCAGCTAACTTGCCCATAATATATCCAGAAATAAAATCCAGACTGGCATTTTTGGCCCAGACTCTCTTGATCAGAGTATCTCTAGTTGACATTAACTTGACTGACCTAATAACCAGGAAAAGGATCAGAGATAAGAACAACATTTTTAATAGAAGGAAGGAAAGGAAAACAGACCATGGGTAATTTGGAAGCTTTTTAAAAGGGATAAGCTTTGGAGAAAATGTAAGCAATCATTTTAGAACTTACATTAGTAGTCGCTCAAAACTATTAAAATGACTGAATGCTGAGTTAACACATACTTGATTTTGAAAATCCTCTATACTTAACTTAATCTTGATTGAGTTTAAAATTCTATTGGTGCAAATAATATTGATATTGATGTAATTAACCTCTTGTGACTTTCTGCTTAGGAAAATGAAACTTCTTATAATGTTGGAGAATCCATCATTTTAGTGTTAACATTTCTTAATCATACACGTGGATAATATACTCTGGAAAGATACCCAAGATGCTGGCAAGAGAAAGAAGGATGCCTTAAGGAGCAGGAACTGGCTGTTGGGGCAGAAGGGATACCGCTTTTCATTTGTGTTTTGCCTTCATTTGCTCTTATACTTATGTACTTTCTGAACTTTTTAGTGTATGAATTTAGTAATAATTCAACAAAGAAATACAATTTAAAATAAACATTAAAATTAAATTTTAAATGCATGTGGGTTCAAAGAAAAGCAGCATGAGGTAATGGGAAGAATGGGATCTGGAATCACAGACTTGACTGTGAAGCCCATCTTAGCCTTTGAGTACTTCTGAGAGTGTAGGAAAGTTATTTGGCATCTCTGTGTCTCCATTTTCCTTATCCTGTACATGAGGCAGAATGTTTAATTTACACAGTGGTGGTTAAAATGAGGCAGTAAATTCTCTATGGCAGACCTGCTACATGGCATGGGCTCCACAGACTGTGGTTGTATTATTAATAGCACCCAATACATTCAGTAAAAGCAGTTTAAGGTATACCACCCATAATCCCCACAGAGACAATAAACATGTTTGTAATAATAATCCCAGAAATATGTATCTGAGAACTTGGTTTTTCCAGATATAACAATCTGAGTTTTACAGTCCTAAACATTTCACCCACTTTTGCCCCAGGTCCTCGGCTCTTCTGGAGGGGATCAATATAGTATTGAATACCCTTCAGTTATTCTTCCTGAAGGCCATCGCTCAACCCGCCTTTTAACAATTAGTTCAATGGTCATGAGGTCTGCTATTTTTCTCAGGTTGGGAGTCTCTCTGTAGCTCTCCAGCAAACAATTTTTGAAAATTCACTTGGCTTCAGAAATATTAATTATTTTCAAGTTTTCCAAAAACCTGTCCCCCATATTTTCTTTTTGTTTGTTTTGTTTTTACTCCCTTCCCCACTCCGGAAAATGAGCATGTGCTCAGGTTCTCGCTTTCCTATGACATTATCCCTGGAACATGCTTTGCAGTTTATTGCCTGAGAGCTTCCGGGTACCACCGCTGCGTGATTCACGGCCACCACTAGGTGGGGGTGTATACACATTTCCGAGAAGGTACACAACTAAGGGACTTGGTAGTGGTCCCTGGAGGTTCTGGTTCTTCCTTTGACGGTGGGTAGGCAATCACAGTAATTGTTTACTAACATTTAATTAACTGGGAAAAATGAGATAAATATAATTAAGATAACTATAATCAAGCAGAAAATATCTCAAGCAAAAGACTTCTCATATCACCTCTGTTCACCATAGTTAACAGCATTCAGATTCCAGGTAAGCACCCAGACTCAGCCCATTTGCCTTTCTTTCTCATTTGTTTTGTAATGTATTCCTCTGTGCAACACACAGTCATACATCTGTATAAAGCACACCGTGCCTTTTTGCACCCTGTGGAGGACTTCAGAGTGCATACTGGGGGTATGTTATTGGTCTGCAGGGTATACCCAACCTGCGTAATATGATGCAAGACATGGCTGGCTTGTAGAGGCAGGATGAAGTCCTTTAGTTGCAGGGCTCTCTTTCAAATGATAACAAATTATGAAAATCCCCTATTTGACACTAAAAGTTAAAAAGTGGATCATTTTACTATCCCTTAGTTGAGAAAATTCATACAACACAAAACTGCAAAATCATCAATGGATGGGCATTTTATTCACCAACTACATACATTTAAACATAGCCATCTACTTATTCAGCTGGTTGACAATGCTTGGTGTGCGCATGTATTTGCAAGCACCTCAGAGTAACAATGGTTGGGGAGCACCAGGATGCTGCTTTGGCATCAGATAGACCCAATTCAGATACAACTTCTCTCACTTTCAAGCTGTGTTTGTTAATTCTGTGGGCCTCCTGCTCCATAATAACCTTTTCTTAGCAAGATTGTTGTGAAGATTAGAATTAATGTGTGCAATGTCATCAGCAGGAGGTATGGAGGTACGTTCTCAGTAATAGTAGTATTTGTTGTTAAAAGTTAAATTTTACTCTTTAGTAGTTCTGCTGTATCTGGGATATTTAGAAGTATTCTTTATCCTTTCCTATTGGATCCTAAGTTTTCTGCTCTATTGTCAGCCAGCTGAGCTAGTTGTCCCTGGAGTTTGCCTGCATTAACTCTCACAGCTGTACCAGCCCCAGCCTCTGCTCCCCACTCCCAAGCCCTGTCTCCAGGAGTCTTCCCTTCACGTCCTGTCTACTCTCATTCTTTCTAAATGCAATCATCCTTTCTAATATCATGTACATTTTTCTGTATTCAGTCACATCCTTTTTAACTACACATTTCATGGTCTGTTATCTTGATATTTCTTCACCATCTAGTCTCTCTCCATCTTCCCGATCTCTCCAGTTTCCTATTTGAATGCACATCAACACACATACTTTTATTTTAACTCAATGGAAAGAATAATAATCATAATCCACAGATAAGTAAGAGAGGGACCAATTTATCATACCACTAGATGCAGTCATCTTTTTCTAATTTTCTTTTTTTTAAATTCCTGTGAAGTTCTAACACTTTACCCTTGCACACTGACTTTTTCAGCATGTGTCCTTGGATAATTCATCCCATTAACTCAGCAGGGTCTATGAGACAGCTTGCATTCTGTGTCTCTCACACACAAGCACCTTATTTCATTTTTCTCTAGCAGACACCTGAAGCTTGGGAAAAATTAGAGCCCCCGGTCGACAGATACACCTGCCTCTCAGTTCCCAGAGTGAAGATAGAAAATGCATTCTGCTTGAGAATAAGCTTGGCTTGCGGGGCAGGGGCAGAGTGGCAGACAGTGTGATGGACTGAATGTTGGTGCCCATCAGAATCCCTGTGCTGGAGGCCTGACCCCAGTGCAGCTGTGCTTGGAGATGGAGCCTCTAAGGGTGTACTTAGGTTAAATGAGGTCATGAAGGTGGGGCCCTGATCAGACAAGATCAGTGTCCTCATAAGAAGAGATGCCGGAGCTCACACTTTCTCTCCACGCACACGCACACAATGAGGAAAGGCCATATGAGGACATAGAGAGAAGGTGGCTATCTGCAAGCCACAAAGAGAGCTCTCACCAGGAAGCAGATTGGCCTGGACATTGATCTCGGACACTCAGTCTCCAGAACTGTCAGAAATAACTTTCAGTTCTTTCAAGCACCAAATCTATGTTATTTTGTACTGGCAGCGCAAGCAGACTAATACAGATAGTAAGCTTTCTTCATTCAGAATCACATACAAAACACAAAAACCTGCCTCTGGCACAAGAGATGTTTAATGCTCCCTCCCTGTTTCCTTATCCTGGCACTCTCCTTCGCTCATGTCCTAGGCACAACCATAGAGGGATTTCTGATTCTCTCCTTAGACAGATTCATGTGAGAATATCAGCAAGGTGCCCAGGGTGCCCAGGGAAGCAGACTGGGGCACTGCATCACTGGAGGCACAGGAGAAGATGGGAATGCTGATGGAAGAGGAGGGGAGGAACAGGAATGCATTAGCCAGGGGAGGCCAGAGCTTGACTCATGGGGAAGCGAGGAGAGAAGATGAAGGAGAAAAAGAGGCACACAAGAGCTGGAAAGGGACGGGAGGGAGGAAAGAGAAGCAGGCAAGCTGGTGGGTGAACGGGGTGAGCAAGGCGTGGAGGTGACAGACCACAAAGAGGACAGGTTTCCACATTACCTCCAAGGAAGCAAAGGGACTTAGCCCCATTTTTATCCCCAGATATTTTCATATCCATAAGATTTGCCAATGAGAAACATTCCAGTCCCCTGATGCTTACTCTACTTTTGTTCTGAGGAAAATGTGTGTGACACTATATTGACTTCGTGTACCAAATCAGGATGATATGAGTTGGTACTCAGAGCCCAAGATAATATGGTACATAACCAGACAAATAGAGAAGCATGGATATTTAAAATCTATATGGCCTCTTTGCCAAGAAATTGAACAATTATATGGGAAAAAACCTACAACATTTGGTGAAGAAACTAAGTGAGATTCTCTCCTTTGTACCCTGATGATGTCATCTCCACACCTCACCTCCCTCCCATTTCCTTCCTCCTCCAGAAAATGATTTTCAGAAATGGATAATAAGCAAACTAATGGGACTAAAGAAATCTACATACTATGTGCATTTCCTCTCTCTAGTTCCTCCCATCCCAAGGATATGCTTCCCTGAGTCCAACAGTGGAGGTAGCGGAATCTGACTGTGATGTTCTAGGAAGCAGAGGTGAGTTTCATTCTTACCTGCCTTGTCTACTCCCATGGCCTGACTGGGAATTGCACGCAATATTTGACTTTTATAATCATGATAATGGTAAGATAGGAGTTAGGGTTTTCTAGCTTACTGAATAATCCATAGTGAGAATCATACCAGCTAAACCTGAGAGAATAGTTAATTCTTGAAGAGTTGACAGCAGTGTTTCATATTATCCTGAAGAGCCTCTTTGACTTTGTCATTCCGGAGCGTGAAGATGAAAGGGTTCAGGAAAGGGGTTAACACATAAATCAACAGGGAAACTACCTTATTGTACTCGGCTGCCTGCGTCTGCTTGGGTTTCACGTAGAGGAACAGGCAGCTGCCATAGCCGATCACAACAAAGGTGATGTGGGAGGCACACGTACAGAAGGCCTTCCTCCTGCCGGAGGCGGTGGGCATCCTAAGGATGGTGAAGATGATGTAGGTGTAGGAGACAATTGTTGGGGCCAGAGAACCAATGATAATGAAAACAGCCATTAAAAACAGAACAAACTCTATGAAAAGAGTGTCATCACAGGATAGTTTGAGCAGTTGCCCTCGGTCACAGTAAAAATTGTCTAACACATTTGATTTGAAGAAAGTAAACTGAAATGCAGCATAGACGGGCCAGATTTCAGAAAAGAGCCCAAACAGCCATGAGGCAATTACCACCCAGATGCAGGTCTGACTGTTCATGATGATGTTGTATCTCAAGGGGTGACAGACAGCCACGTAACGGTCCACAGCCATCGCTCCCACTATTGCAAACTCTGTGGTCCCCAAAGCAAGGTACAGGAAGACCTGGGAGACACACGCAGTCAGAGGTATTGTCTGCATCCCAGGGAACAACAGCCCCCAGAGCATCAGTGGGACGATCATGGATGTGATCAGAATCTCCAAGGCAGAGAGATGACCAAGGAAGAAATACATGGGGGTCTGCAGGCGTTTATCAACAGAGACAATCACGATGATGACAGCATTTCCCATCAGTGTCACTGAGTAGAAGAAAAAGAATACAGCAAAAAGAAGGTGGTGTAGTTCCTGGGACCCAGAGAAACCAAGAAGATAGAATTCAGTAGCACTAGAGTGATTGCTCATCACTAGTTCTTGTTTCTGTTCCTTGATTATAGATCAAAAGAGAGGTAACACTGCTCCACATGGTTCTGTTCTCAAGAGATAAGAGACATATTAGGATGAGAACTTCGTTCAACCTGGTGATCAGGTGAGATTCTCCTACTATTATCTGCACAAAGCCAGACCTAACTGTTGTCAGCTGAAATCTATCTCAACGGTTAGCTGCCTATAATGGGCAAATAAACCTTTTTTTATTGGGCTGAAGTAAACCTTCCTTGTTTTTTTTCACTTTGGACGTGCCTTCTGAAAAGGGGATAGAGTCTAAGACCATTTAGTGGCCAGTTTTAATGCTAAATTGATCAGCTTCTCCAGGCCTGGGATTGTCCTACTTGCTCGTGGGTTAACTGCAACAGATGACACAATGGCACTCCACATGATGCTCAAACCAGGGAACTTTGAACCCCGTGCCTCATCCTTATTGGTATGGCATAGATCCACCTTGGGATCAGCAGAAAAGAGGCAGAGGGTCTAAAACCAGCATCCCTGCTTTCCCAAGATTTTATTAACCCATACAGAGCAGCAAGATGTCCAAATGGGAGCGCTAGCACTTGGATTAATTTCCCAGAGAAGACTGATTCTTCTCTAACTCCATTTTCTTTCCAAAATCTTGGGAGCAGGGGAAGATGACACTGACCCTGGCATCATAGACCCAAGGCCATCAACTACTCAGACATCTGGATTTCTGCCCCACACTTTATCCATCCCATTACCCAGATGTCATCTCCTTGGAGGGTTCTTTTCAATTACTCTACCAAGACAGGAAAGACATGTTCATTCTTAGACTTTAGTTTTCTTCAAAGCACTTATTATAATACCTAATATTACATGTGCAATCACTTTTTCATTCCTTCATTTAACATTGTACAAACACAGCAGTGAAGAGTACAAACAGAAATCCTGCCCTATGGGGCTTACAGCCAAGCAGGGTTTGGAGACTAGACTATACACAAGTAAATAAATATAAAAGATGAAGTTTCATTACTCATGCCAACAATTTAAAAAATTAAGCAAGGAAGAGAGATAGGAAGTCTAACTTTATGCTTCACTACTGATCTATGAAAATAACACCCCTGAAGACAATGACATGTTTTTATACCTATATAATAGTCCTTAGCCATGGAAGTAAGCAGTGCTGAAGACTTCTGGGAGATGATGGATGTAAGGATGTATGATACATGCTTAAACATTACTTGGTCCTGGCCAGGGCTGGTCAGGCCGTATCCTCCCTATCCTAGTCTTCTTGGCTCCCTTCCTGCCTCGCATTACCGTTTTCCCTTCTCTTGCTGATGCGACCTCTGCAATATCTTTGTGGCTTTTTTACTGATGTGCAAACAGACTTCACGGGCAGAACTCTTGGAAGAACTCTGTGGTCTGCTCCCCATGATCTCTGCATAATCAGCACAGGGTGAAAAAAATGAAAGAGAAGGACCTGGGCTGAGGTGAGGGAGCTGTGCCCACCCCTGGCATTGGGTCTGGAAGAATCAAATCAGCTCTCCTCTGGGCAGGGGTATTGGGTGGGGAGCCCATCCACTCTGCTCTCCCTCTACCCCACTCTTCAGGCTCCTGGTGACCTGGTGCTAGAAGGCAGCCAAGCCCAGAACTTCCCATCCTGATCCTCTCCTACTCTTCCCTTTGCAGAGGAGAACCCCAAGAAGACTCACCTCCATCGGTGGAGGCTTCATCACCACTTCTAGTCCTGTCGGACTATTGCTGAGCCATGCACGGGGGCCAGAGCAACTTGCTGCTGTCTCCACTCATGGTGAAGAAGGAAATTGTCCACAAAGGAACATAGGAAAAAGTTCAGAAATAATAGCATTGTAGGGTGGTGAGGGTCTAACATTGTCTCCTTCCCTTCTGCTTCCTTCCTTCCCAAGGGGACTTAGTCACTGAGGTTCCTGTTCCTAAATAGCTCAGCTTCAGGGCATCCCTAAGCAATCAGTCTGAGGACAGCAGAACAAATTTTAGGTATTCCCATTTTTGACCAATTAACTTGGAGAACATTTTTAAAGTTTTTGCTTAATGGGAAAATCTGAAATTTCACCAATCAGAGGCTTCTCAATACCACTGCTGCCTTCTCCAAAGGCCCCAAACCTAGGTTTCCAAAAATGTCTCACAGACTTTAGGCAGATCACCCCTTCTGCCCTTTATTGGGCACCTTCTTTCGGGGCCAAAGTAAACCTCCCTTGTGTTTGTTCCTCTGCTGGGTGTGCCTTCTCAGAGGATAGACATTTCATGCTGCCCACTTCTAATGCTACATGGATCAGCTTCCTCCGTCCTGGGATTGTCCTATTGGTTGTTAGGTGAACTGTACCAGATGACGTAACAGCACGCTACATGATGTCCAAAGCAAGGAACTTCGAACTCCATACTTTACCTTTTTTAGTATCACCCAGACCCACCTTGGTCTAGACATTTCCCAGGATTATTTTAGGAATGTGAGCCAGAATCAGCACTCACCTCCCAGAATGAAACACCAGAATTAATCTCTAAAACATGGACCAATACCAAAAAGCCTATATACTGGTCTCAGTCAATGTTTTGAATTCACCAGAAATCCCCTACAAAGCCTGATTTCTCCTTCACTCATTTTACAGAGGACCTGCTCCTAACCCTGTGGATCCTCTGGAACACAGTGGAGAGGTTCAGTCCCTAAATCTAACTCCAATCTCTGTTACTGTCTCAGGGTCCACTCTTCTGGACATAGGTGCATCTGTGCGCATTCAAGCAAGATTCCTCCACCTATTTACTTCTATATCATTTCTCCCATCACCAGCTGGGCTCTTCAAAGTGGGTAGAACATAATGATGGTCTAATGTGGGCAGTTGTATTTACAACCTGGAACAAGTGACAAAATTTAAGTTACAAAATGTAAACATGTTTGACGCTAGAGGAGACCAAAAGTGAGAGTTACAAAACATTTTCTGGATTGCATTTGAAATTACCTTGCTTAATCTGAGAAGGCCAGTTGGTACAGAAGGGTATAAATTGGGAATAATCTTTCTCTCAATTCCTTAATTGTCCAAGCCAACCAGACTGCCACATAATCTTAAGGCATTTCTTAGGTTTGTGTTTGAATGTCCTTTTAACCTAAGTGCTCTGAAAATCTGTTTAATGATGTTTTCTCTTTCACTTAACAATATATAAAAGACACTGTCCCATATCAATATATCACAACTTTTTCTGTTTTTGCATAGTATTCCATTGTATGGATGTCCCATTCTTTATTAACTAATACTCTATTAATTAATCATCTTTTCATGTTATTTTCATTATTATTATGAAAAATAATGCCATAAATATTCTTACACACTTATCCTCCATACATACTAATGTTTCTGGAATAAATACCTAGAGTTGGAATTTCTAGGTCAAAAGGTAGTCATATTGTAGCTACTGCTTTTTATTGGCACCAAATTATACTCCAAAGATTTTGGATTGATCCACTACCAACCAAAGATATAATCAAAATTTAAGATATCTTAAAAGAGAAATCAATTAAAAAACCTGATGAAATGGAAAACCTTTTGAAAGATAAAAATTATCAAAACTGTTTCAAAAGGAAATTGAGCAATTGAATATTCTTAAATATGTAAAATGAATGGAATTCATAATTGGAAATCTTCCCACACAGAAAACTATAGGTTCAGATTGTTTTTACAGATGTATTCTGTCAAATATTTAAGGAAGAATCCTACATAAAATCTTCTAGAAAATTTGGAAAGAAGACTGCCCAATTCATCTTATAAGACCAGAATTATGTATTTTTGCTTGTTTGTTTTTGTTTTTGTTTTATTAAGGTATCATTGATATATACTCTCATGAAGGTTTTACATGAAAAACACTGTGGTTACTACACTCACTCACATTACCAAGTCCCCCACACACCCTGTTGCAGTCACTGTCCATCAGTGTAGTAAGATACTACAGAGTCACTAGTCTTCTCTGTGCTACACTGTCTTCCTTGTGACGCCCTCCACACAATGTGTGCCAATCACAATACTCCTCAATTCCCTTCTTCCTTCCTCCCCCAACCATCTCCCACCCCTCCCCTTTGGTAACTGCTAGTCTCTTCTTGGAGTCTGTGCGTCTGCTGCTGTTTTGCTCCTTCAGTTTTTCTTCATTGTTGTACTCCACAAATGAGGGAAATCATTTGATACTTGTCTTTTCCACCTGGCTTATTTCACTGAGCATAATACCCTCTAGCTCCATCCATGTTGTTGCAAATGGTAGGATTTGTTTTCTTCTTGTGGCTGAATTAGATTTCATTGTGTATATGTACCACATTTTTATCCATTCATGTTTTAATCAGGTTATTTGCTTTTTGAGTGTTGAGGCATATGAGTTCTTTATATATTTTGGATGTTAACCCCTTGTTGGATGTCATTTTCAAATATATTCTCCCATAGTGTAGAATGCTTTTTTGTTCTACTGATGGTGTCCTCTGCTGTTCAGAAGCTTTTAAGTTTAATGTAGTCCCATTTGCTCATTTTTGCTTTTGTTTCTTTTGCCCAAGGAGATGTGTTCAGAAAAAATTTGCTCATGTTTATATTCAAGAGATTTTTGCCTATGTTTTCTTCTAAGAGTTTAATGGTTTCATGACTTACATTCAGGTCTGTGATCCATTTCGAGTTAACTTTTGTGTATGGAGTTAGACAGTAACCAGTTTCATTTTCTTACATGTAGCTAAGACCAGAATTATCTTGATACCAAAGATATCACAAGAAAGTAAATCTAAAAACCAACATCCATCATGAACAAAGATGCAGAAGTCCTTAACAAAATATTAGAAAATCAAGTCCAGTAATTTATAAAGAGAATAATATACCTTTACAAATTGACGTTTTATTCCCAAAATGCAAGGCTACTTAAACTTTAGGAGGTTAATCAACATAATTCACTATGTTAATGGAATTAAAGACCAAAACCATTTGATCATTTTAGTTGGAGCAGAAAATGCATTTAGCAAACATTGACATTCATTGATTAAAAACTCAGAGCAAACTCAAACTAGGAATAAAGGGAACTTCCTCACACTGATAAATAACAGCTAACAAAAAACTTGGTGTTAACACGAAGTTTAATGAGGAAAGCCTTGGTTCTTTCCCTCTAAGATAGGGAAGAAGTCATGGATACCTGTTCTCACAACTTCTATTCAACACTGCACTGGAAGTCTTAACCATTTCCATAAATCAGAAAAATAAAAAGTACACAGTTAGGAAATAAAGAAATAAAATTATTTATCCATGACATAATCTTACATGTAGAAAATCCTAAGAAGTCCACAAAAACCCACTAGACAGAGTAAATGATTATTAAGGTCACAGGACAAATCTCATTATATAAAAAGCTATTGTATTGCTATATACTAGCAATGAACATTGGGAATGGAAATTAAAAACATTTTACAAGAAGATTCAACAACATGAAAAACTAGGGGATATATTGAACAAACTGTGTGTAAGAGTTAAAACTATAGAACATTGCTGAGAGAAATTAAAGACCTAAATAGATGAAGAAATAGTCTGTTTTCACAAATCAGAAGACTTCAATTTTGTTAGAATGTTAATTTTTTTCCAAATTAGTCTATAGATTCAATATAATTTCAATCAAAATTCCAGGAGTCTTTCTGTTAAATCTTTATTTCATGTTTAATTTCATATTTTCTTTTTTAACATATAAATGTTTCATTGTTGTACAGTTAAAACTATTTTTTAGTGTCTTGAAATCTGTGTTTTCCTTATGAAAGTCTATGTTCATATTCAAAGGCAATTTAAAAAGGAAAAAAATCCCATTTGTTACTTTTTACATTTAAGTCCATATGAAACATCTTGAATTTATATTTTTTAGAGTTATAGATCTAGGGTTATATCTTTTCCAGATATTTTCTGAATGCAATAAATATTTCTGGAATAAAAGGAAAGAAGGGAGGGAGGAAGGGAGAATAAGAGAAAGATTGACAAAAAGAGAGGAAGGGGGAGGAGGAGGAAGAGGAGAGAGAAGAACCAGCCTAGAGAACTGCCAGGGCAGGAAGTACCTCCTCTCTCCTGGCTGGTGCAAGGGGAGTGTGTGTCATAGTCGGAGGTACTAAACAAGAGATTAGAATGACTCTGATATTAATAAGGGCCAGAGAATGCCAGACATGGAAAGAAAATGTCTTCCACGACTTCATTTACATTTGATGAACCCAAAACCCAGAGAGACTGAGTGACTGGCTAAAGTCACACAGCAATTTACTAGGTGAGTTGACATTAGTGACCAGGGACTCCTCACTCCTAGATCCACCTTCTGTATGGTGGGAAGAGCCGCTTTCAGCAGGGACTGATACATGGATAGTTGGCTGGCCAGCGGAACCTCTAAGGATCCTACCAACTCTAAGACTGTGGAAATATTTACACACGCACACACACACACCCCTTAACATACATGTTGGCCCTAAAGAAGGTGGAGAGATGATGGGACAAGAAAATTTGAGGTCACTGACAGCCATAGCAGTAATAACAATGACTGCAGCTATTTGTTGAACACAAGCCACCGGGTTCCAAGGCTTGAACCTGGATACCAGAGGGGAAAGGTGCTGTTTCTCTACTCCATGAATCTTTACCTCCCAAGTCATTCCTGCTCTCGGTCTTTGCTAACACATACCAGAGGGCCTCCCTAAAGAAAGCTAATTGATTGATTCAAAACTCTGCCTTTCCACTAATTTCATGATTGTATCTGGAGAAATGTGAGTAACTGAGGGTCCTCAACAGACAGCCAGCCCAGAAAGACTTGAGGGGACCCTTTAAAAGTGGATAGGCCTTGGTCACAGCCTGTGGGTCGCGACACAGAGCCCCCCAGCACCAGCCTGCACTCAGGGACTTCGGGTGACTTAAGCTAATCCTCTCCAGGCCCCCTCCCCTCCCTGTCCTTCTCTGGTTCTTGCTCTCGCACACTTGGTCTTCCTCTCCTACTTCTCCGTTTCTCCTGTTTCCTTCCTGCCTTCTCCCTCAGTGTCCATGTCTGTTGCTGTATTGTCTTCCTTAATCTATGTCTGTGTTTCTCTCTCCTTATCAATGGCTTTCCATGCTTTTACCTCTGAGTTACTAACTCTCTTTCTCTGTGATTCTCATGGTCCCATGTTGATATCTCTCCGTTTCTGTCCTTCTGCTTATCACTGACAACCTTCTTGCCTTTCTCTCTCCACTCTCTTCCTCTGTGTCTATCTTTCTTTCATGGTCAGTGGTTCTCCCTCTATGTCTCTATCTCTGTCTCTCCATCTTTGTGTCTTGTTTCCTCTCCATGCGGGGACCCAGCCCTGGATCATGGCAAATCCGAGCCACCCTTTGGAAGTTGCCCTCTGGGGCTTCTGCCCCTTTGGCGAGCCGCAGGTCAGGCTGTATGGACCTTCCTCATGCTCTATCTTCCTGCCTTCACGGGAAACACCGTCATCATAGTCACGGTCATGGCTGACACCCGCCTGCACACACCCATGTACTTCTTCCTGGGCAACTTTGCCCTGCTGGAGATCTTGGTGACCATGACTGCAGTGCTCAGGATGCTCCCAGAGCTGCTGCCCACCCCCCAGAGTCATTTCCTTCACTGGCTGCATCACCTATTCTACTTCTACTTTTCCTTGGGTTCTGCCTCCTTCCTCATCCTGTCAGACATGGCGCTTGACTGCTTTGTGGCCATCTGCCACCCACTGCACTATGGCACTTTGATGAGCTGGGCTGTGTGTGCCTGGCTGGCAGAGGCTGCCTGGGCAGCTCCTTTCCTAGCCATGGTGCCCACTGTCCTCTCCCGGGCTTATCTCAATTTTTGCCATGGCAATGTCATCAACCACTTCTATTGTGATAATGCACCTCTGCTGCAGCTATCCTGCTCAGACACTAGCCAGCTAGAATTTGGGGACTCCATGATGTCCTTAGCTTTTGTCCTCAGCTCCTTTCTAGTGACCCTCATCTCCTATAGCTACATTATGACCACTGTGCTGAGGATCCCCTCTGCCAGTGGCCGTCGGAGGCTTTCTCCACATGTGGGTCTCACCTTACCCTGGTCTTCACTGGCTATAGCAGCACCATCTTCCTGTATGTCAGGCCTGGCAAAGCACACTCTGTGGAGGTCAACAAGACCATAGCTTTGGTGACATCAGTCCTCACACCCTTTCTCAATCCCTTTATCCTTACCCTCCGCAATGAGACAGTCAAGGCAGTCCTACGCAGCTGCAGAGGCTGAAAGACCTCCACAAGGCACTATGATGAGCCTGAGGGATCTGTCTAGGTTCAGTCAAGTAGTTTTGTGAGGACACAGAGTACCAGGCTGGATGGGAAGACCAATGTCAAGGTTTTCTCCTCTGTGCTTCTGGGTGAAAACCACAGTGAGTCTTCAGTGCTGCCCTGTTTGGCCTGAAGCTCCCATAGGCCACCAAGGAGGTGCTCCCCATATTCACTGGAAGTATAAAAACTCTGAGAGTAGCCAAGAGCCCAGGCAGCTAGGAGTGGGACTTCAACAAAAGGAAGTACTTGGGCTTCCCATTTGCGGAACAGCAGCCATGAAGTGTTCTCTGATCAAGAAACATTACCCAGCCCAGGTGTGTGTGTGTAAGCTTCCTGAAAGCCTGTGAAGTCCCATTCCCTTTGGAAGGAAGAACTTTTTAAACTCTCCAGTAACTTTGACATCAGAATCATGATATTCTCTTACCTTTCACCTCTTCTGCATTTTCTAAAACAGCCCCAATTTAAAATATTCTGTTAACATGTTTCTGCAAATACACTTTAATTTACTAACCTGCATTTCCCAGTAAACCACGATGACTTCCCTCATCAAGAGAGTACACCTGGCGCCATTTTCTTCAAGACCACAAAAACTACCAGTTCACTGCAAACACAAGCTTTTTACAAGTCTACTATGTGGAAGTAAACAAGATAAGGGCTTGTGGGTTCACTTGGTGGATACCGGGCTTCTCGCTTTGGAGATGTGGCTCGCTTAGTGGTCCATTGGTTTTCATTACGTACCTCTGGTGCCACCCCAGGCTAACCCCTTCCTAACTGAGGTGCCTCCTTCTCTGGCTTTCTGAAAAGTTTGCTTCTTTCTTGCTGGGATTCCCCTCACTCAAACCAGAGGGCTTCTTTAAGTTTCAGCTTCTGGTCGAAAGTCTTATGTCTCCTCCAAATACACGTCAGATCAATGACTTGGGCGTTTGCTGTTACTGTCACACCAACTGATTTATTTTCCCTAATTATCCTCTGCTCACCACCTTGTAGAGTAAATATTTGTAGAATAAATGAAAGGAGGGTGAAGAAATTAAAAGTAGTTCTACTGATAATAACTTACCTTTGTACATATTCACATTTTACAAACTACACTTACATGTGTTTTCCATTTCATTTTGCCCTCACAGTAATTCAATTAAACAAAGATTCATGGATCACTCACCATAAACAATGCACTCTGCTCAGCACTGGGCACTGAAGATCAAAAAAATGTGGATTCTACCCTCAAAGCCTTCTCCATCTGTGAGAGAGAGATAAAAGTACAGTTAATTCTAACACATTTTGATAAGGGGTTTTCCTACTTCTAACAAGTGCCTCCACAAGGCACTATGATGAGCTTAAGGGACCTGGCTAGGTTCAGTCAAGTAGAAAGGAAATGCTGATTCTTGGGCCGCAGCCAAGCAGCATTTCTGAGCCACCGGTAGTTAAAGAAACCATGGTTGAGAAGGAAAAAAGATTTGGTCAAAGTGATGGAAGAACTAACACTAGATTCTGGTTCTTCAAAACTTCCATTTCTCTATCCTCGGAAATTTGTCTTCCATCTGGATGAAAAGTTTAATTACCCAAATCAACCAAAGTTCAATTAAGAGTTGGAATCTTCAGGATCTGAAGGCACTCAGTGTAAACTCTTTTGGCCCTTTATTTAGTGTGTATCCATCAAGTTTATAGAATTATAATTGCAATAATTCTAGTAACCCTTCATAACAGTAATTTTATGTTTAATATCCTCACTTGAAAGAAACACGTACTGTCAGAAAGCAACTATGGATTCAGGGCCACTTATAGATTCGTGTTTTATTTATCACAGTACTATCCACAAACATTTGAAAGATAGCAAATAACACTTATAAATGCAAGAAAATGTTTTTATTCAGTCCATACACAATGTTCATTGCATGACAGAGTTATACTCCCTTTACTACACAAGTTTCCCCTGTTATCCAAAAAGAGCATGTTCCTATGAAAGTTTTCATAAGCCAAAAGGGCTAAAGGGAAGAAGCAATTACCATTCACTTAAGTAGAAAATTTTTGAGTGTTCCCACTTCCAAACAATAATCTCCCCTAGTCTTTTCTGATACCTTAGGACACATCTTACCAATAGATACACATAATAAATTGAGATAAAGCACAGATACATTCAAAGCTATGGTAGTTTGATGCTAAGATGCTGGGTATGGTTCCCTGGGAAGGAACTTTGTGGGGCCACTTTCAGTGCTCAGGAGGCATGCTGCCTCTGTAATGGCTCACTGCAAAACAAACACTGAATGCTATTTTTGTTTTGCCTTTTTTTGCAAAACCAAAAATCCTCATTGGATTTCATTGGTTAGCACAAACACATAGTAATGTAGGCCCCTCGTAAAAACAAAGTGTCATGACACACACTTGTGAAAAGCAGGGGATACCTGTAAAACCATTTTTTCCACAAGACAGAGACAATTGATTTGGTTGTTAGTCTACATAACATCATTTGACAGAAGGCAAGAGGTTTCGCATCCACAGAAATAGCTTACACTGGAACATAATTGCACAGGGTAGGAAAACAAGATTGTTTGTAACACTCAGAACAAATTTAAATATAGGTACTATCAGTGGTAAAATTTCACGGTTCTAAAATGCCTGCCCTACCCCATGACTTCTTCCCCACTCACCCTCCATTTGTCTGGCATTCCGGCCCCAGAATGTTCTGGTAAGAAACCATAAGACATACAGGGTTCTGAATGGCTAACACGAGAAACCACTGTCACCGTTGTAAATCCCAGTGGGAAGTCAAAAGATAGATTTATTACTTCCAGCTGGGAACACAAGGCAGCAAGAAATCAAGAGTATGGAAATTTTGATGAGGGAAGATAAAAGAATCATTTTTAACAAAATTACTTAGTAAATAAAAGGCATGGGTCCTATAGTGGCTAGTAGCAGCATGAAGGCCTTGCAAACATGGGATCTTAGGAGTTTGATGAGGTGTAAAACTCTCGAAGGCCAACTTGGAAAATTTCAATGTTGCCTATAAAGGACCATGGTCATATCACCAGTCTTTAAGCTTTAAATTTCCTGGTGTAAATAGGCTCCTTGAGCAATGCCTGACAGACGCTGCAGAAAAGTGTTGGTCTGCTGAAAAATATTTAACCACCGGCTCTCCACCGGTAGCATTAGCTGACTTCCAGCACTTGCCAACTTCCACGGTGTTAGTTTCACTCTCATCACGTCCAGTTTCAAACTACCAACAGGACATCACCAAACCTGGAGCTGGGAAGAGATGCTCAGAGGCCCATTATACAGTGCTTCTGCCGTACTGACACAAGCGACACAAACTTCAATCACATAGATTAGAGTAAAATATAGTAAAATAATAAGGGGCTTTGAGATGTAATACTTTTGTATTGAACATAGTCTATTTGATTGTAATTCTGTTGCTTGCTATTTAATAATGCCATATTTAATTTCTGAAAACTGAACAATCAGTGTGTAGATGCCCTCAGAGCATCGCTGCGGCCTCCGCCCTGGGCTTCCCCATGGATCGCTCCCCCCTCAGCCCAGCATCTCTGTCATTCTCCTCCCTTGAGTAAGAGATGTGCCAAGCCCTGTGGAAGCAAACCTCATGAAACTTCCCTTTAACAGAACTAGTTGTCCCTTAAACAACACTGGCTTGAATTGCAAGGGTCCACATATAAGGGGATTGTTTTCAATAAGTATATTGGGAAAATTTTTTGAAGATTCATGTAAATTTGAAACAATATTTTCTTTTCTCTAGCTTACATTATTGTAAGAACACACACATAACACATATAACATTCAAACTATGTGCTAACTGACTGTTTATGGTATCAGAAAAGCTTCTGGTCAACTGTAGGCTCTTAGTTGAGTTTTGGAGGAGTCAAAAGCTAGAATGGATTTTCTACTGCACAAGGGGTTGGCTTCCCTAAACCCTTGAGTTGTTCAAGGATTAATTCTATTCCTAAACTCTTTCTGAACTTACTTAGGTTGTTTCAAAATTGAAGGCAATAAAATTCCAGCACTGAAGGTAATAGTCCCATAAGTGCCCTAGCATGAAAAAGTTTCCACATCAGTATCTCTGTACCCACTCGAAAGTTTTTAGTAATCAGATATGGTCCGTGGCTTTGGTGAGTGGAGCATCCTTCAGTGGGCACTTGCAAATCAAGAGACATGGGCACTTGCAAATCCCCCAAGAGACTGAGACTGCACACCTATCTGATTAGTGAAGATATCCATGACCACTCTTCAGAGAGCCCATTCATGAATTCCATCTCCCCAGTCTTCCATTGCCTACACAATATACCCTTTATGTCTACATTATTGTGCACATTTAGTTGTCTCTCCCTGGAATTCTCTTTCCCCTTGTCAGCCTGTGAAACTGCTCTTCACACTTCATAGCTCAGCTCCAGTGACACCATGTTTGAGATGACTTTCACTTTGACCAAGGAGAATTAGGCACTCCCTCCTTGTATTCCCAGAGTGCTTTGCAGATTATAGCAGCTAACACATAATTTTGTCTTCCCACATGAAATTCCAAGCTCAAGTTACGCACCATGCCTTACATATCTCTATCTTCTGTACCTAGAACATGTTATTAATCAATGCCAGCTAGCTTTAATAATGTGGTGTGTAGGTGATTTTTAAATATGAGAAACACCATAACCTAAAACACAGAATGCCATCTTAGTTGACATTAATAGAAATGCAGTAAACAAAGCATGAGAAGTCATTTCAGTGCACTGTATCTCAGTTGTCTGAACTAGTACCACAACCAGTTCCAAGACCCACATACGTGCAGGGACCAGAGGAAACAATGTGGGTGGTGAGAGGTCTAGAAATTGTTCAAGGGAAGCATATAACAAGCCTGAATATTTTCCAGGGAAATATGTAGCTTTCTTCATCTGTTTGCTAGTCTTCTTATGTAACTGAAAATTGTAGAACTTGGACGGTGGGTAAATGTTAGAGTGAGTCACACTGAGGCTGCACATGAAGGTTTCGTCTTAAAACGGCACTGCAGCGCCTCTGCCTCACAAGTGGGGTGCTCCATCCCTGGACTTGGTTCAAGCAGGGCCTCTCTGCCAACCTGAAGAGAGCATGTGTCACAGAGGGGAGTCCACCCTCAGAGGGGGGACCCTGCATGACCTCAGCACTCCCGTGGAATTCCACAGGCAATGATTTAGGTATATAGTGACTCTAAACCTGGGGACACTTGAATACAGTCACTTGAACTGGAATTCCAAGATCACTTCCAGCAGGGTGGGAAAGTATGGCCTGGTTCTTTTCTGTGTTATGTCTGCTCAGGAGACTTACTTGATACTGTACACACTGGGGGACCCTGTCACATCAAGACGAATGTATGGAACCAAATCCAAAATATCGTGTCCGCACAGGGTTCTAACAGCATGTTAGAGGCCAGACCACTTGGCAAAGTCTCTCAAGAAGTTTAAAATCAGACTAGGATGAAAATCTTGGGGCCTAAATCCTGGCTACTGTCTCGAGAAATAAGACTTAGGATGAAAGCCGTTAAGGAAGGATGGGTTCAATCATAGCAAATACATCCTCAAATTCCCTCTTCCAAAGCCCTTTACATTACTGAGACTGAGACAAGAACGTTTTTACACGATTTTCTGATTAAAACTTCCATCAGACTGTCTAGATCAGTGCTCCTCAAATGTTAATGTGCATGTGAATCATCCAGGGTCCCGTTAGGATGCAGATTCTGATTCGGCAGGTCTGGGGCAGAGCCTGAGTCTCTGCATCTCTAACAGGCTCTTAGGAGATGCTCACGTTAATCCAGGGATCATACTCTGAGTAGCAAGTTTGTTGAGCGTGTCATGGGGTGATTACTGTGGAGGCCAAGGCAAGCTATACCTTCCCCAAAATTGACTAGTCAGAGATTCCACTCCTAAAAAACACTATAAACAGGCCATAGACCACTGCAGGCTGTTGATTACTTTTGACTTTTTAAGAATGAAATGTATAGACATGAGGGAGTAGCAGGAAGGAGTCTCTCAGGAGGAAAACCTGAGTATATGTGTGTCCTGATTATTTCAGGAGAAGCTGAAGAGAAGGGCCTGCAAATCAGAAATAGATAATTGCTCCCCATTTAGTTCTTCAGTTTTTCACAAAGTGTGCAAGGAGGGTAAGTAATTAGACCCTTGAGAAATAGAGGAGAGAAAGTTCTCAGGATGAATAACTGTTTTCCCTGCTGGCCTGTATAGCAGAATTAAAATATGTGCCCACTTTTGG